GTCTCCTTCGTGTGCACGCTCCTGTGTAGTGCGCATGCGTGCACTGAGATAAAACGATTCGAATGCAGTAAAAGAGCGGCCATGGCTTCGAACTTGCTAATATATTAACGCGATATCCGATGCTGGCTAAATTGCCGCGTCTTCGACTCAGACAGGATACTTAATTTTCCTTTGTTCGGTGAACAGTGCGCGCCACGCGGGATCCGTTCTCGTTTCTTTTGTTGCTCGTCTCTAGCGCGCCAGAGAGATGAAATCAATAAAAAGTAATAATGATCGCTCGAAAACCCGTGTACGCATAAAGGAGTTAAATAAAAACCGAGCAACCAGAGGGCCGTCTTGAACGTAAGGGCTATAATATTCACTTACACTTTATCCTGCGCTTCATTGCCTTTTATTGTTTTTCGTTTCGTGTGTCAGAGGATGATCTATGGCACAAAAAGTCTTTGTACGCGGGTACACGTGATAAATGAACGATCAGGGTTGAAGGTTAGAATCCGCAAGATAAACGAGATCGCTTTAAAAATTAGTAAATCGATAACTAATAAAAAAAAGAATTTTGGCCTTTTTCGTTTGAGAAAGTGTTCGATGTATGAGGTTATCGTAGTTATTCTGTAATACACGACGTAGTTGCGGTTACTTCCGTATAGGACTTTAAGGCGCTACTTTCCAAGCAATACCGTGGACGAGATACCTCGTCTGTGATAGATTATATTACCGACAGTTGGTTATTTTAATAAATATTTTGTTTGAAATATTGTTCGAAAACAAAAATTTAATACTTACAAGATCTTGACATTCCTTATTTCTATAGCACATGTTCCCAATAATTCTTATTAAACCAGCTTTAAAACCAAATGTAGGATGATTTTGCAGGTCAGTCATTGTCGAATTCAATTTATTTTCATCGCTACTTGAACATGGTTTTGAATCACTATTCCTTGTTCCTTGTATTGCTGAAGCTACATCACTCAGTTTTTGCAGTGGTGTAAAATAATTATCTGATTGTTTTCCAATCATTTGAATAGACTGTAATAAATCTGTGAAAAATACAGCATTAAACATTCTTGTATTCCAAAATAGTTATAGCATAAAAAAGTGTACTTACAAGTACAGTTAATAAGCAAGCTTTTATGATCTTTAAGAAAACTATATTCTTCGTATAATCTTGAAGTTAAGACACCAAGAATATCAAGAAGAATAACAATTTCTGTAGGTTCTATTTCATCTAAACATGTATCTACTGTTTTCAAAATTAAGTCACTTCGTCTACAAAATCTTTCAATTAAAAATTCAATCGTCTCTTTCGTAAACATATATTCATTTTCAGATTTGTGCTTTGTGTCTGAGAGTTCGTTATAAATTATTTCCAATAAACATAATTTATTTTCAATAGTCATATTATTGTATGTACACTGTAGCACATCTTTTCCACATAATAAAAGCATGAGAGCTTCCTTTGCACTTTCAAAACCTTCTTTAGATGGTCTCAATAACTGTGAACATAAAAGTTCTTTTTCTTCTTCCAAAAAAGTTTCTCCTTCAAATTCTTTTAAAGCATTGTGTATAAATGCACATGAAGCTCTAACAATTGGTATATGTTCAGAATGTGTCATACTTCTATAAGGAAATGAAAAATTTATTAGAAAATATTTCAATATAGTCAGATAAAAATGTAAATTAATATTAATTCATATTAATAATACTTACATTATCACATCCTTTAAATTAATATCGTACAAATATTGTGGTATATCACATTGGTCTAGATTATTTTTACATGCAAATGTAAACAGATTACATAGGAACTGAATACTCAATCTCAAAATTTCTAATTTCTCATTTAACAGATGATTGTCAGTTTTACAAGATATAATAAACTTCAATGTCCATTCTATCACTCCTTCATAAGGAAAGTAAGAATCAAATGGATAAGGATTAGAACTTTCCATTTCTTTTAAATTTTCATTATTTGCTAGAGTAGAATACAACTTGTGACTGTATGTTCCTTTTTCAATGTTAGTTAAAACATATTCTTTATAGATATAATTATTAAAACAAGAATTTCCTAGACATTTTAAGCAAGCAATTTTTATATCGTTTGGAACATCAGAATTTTCTGTTGTAAGAATTTGTGCTATTTTTGCTAAAATTGGTGAAGCAACCAATTCCCTGAAATTTTTCAATCTGTTATAGTAATATGAATTATTTATTATTATATTACATATTATACCATATTATTTGACAAATCATACTTTGATTCAAAAGGTTTAAACATTTTTGGATTAAGAAGATTTAGTAATTCATTCCAATCTTTTTCAGCAAAAGTAGAATTAAATTTAGATAATAAATTAATATCTCTATTATTCATTTTGTCCATTTTTATCTATAGTGTTATTTGTTTTATTAAAAACTTAAAAAGAAGTGATTTTCTTGCGTATATTATATAAAATAATCCCATGATATAACCTCAAATAAGAATGTTAGAGGAGCCATTTTTAAATGGATCACATATGTACATAAAAGTTTAATATATAGTTTAATAAAATTAATAAAGTCACGGCAAAACAGAATAGAAAATAATCTTAGAATTAATTAATAATTATACTGATTAATAGTAAATTAATCAATGTTCTCTGAAATATATGAATATATGTTGACTAAAATTGTGTGTAAACTGAATTATATAAAATTATTATTTATTGATGTTATTAAAAAATTTTTATTATTGATGTTATAATTTTTGTAATATGACTATATAATTTGATGATAAATATAATCAGTTTCAATTATTTTCATTTCAAACATATTTCTATAGTCTGAAGTTAGGAATAAATTTTACTTTAGACTCGGGGTTCTGAGAATTAAACATACGTATCTGTATTTATCCCCGCCATTAGATTCAAGTCTCTGCGTGACTAGCGTTTGTGACTGTCGGCTTAAAGTTATTATTAAGCAATTTCTACTGAAATTTTAAAAGTATCTTAAAGGTAAGTCTTTTTGATTTTCAAACAGTAATTAACTTTAAGAAAAACTTAAATTTTGCTAGTTTATATGTCCATGTATGTTAAATCCATTGGTTTTGCTATGTCATTCCGAGGTAACCTCTTTTTATTTAGGCCTTTTCTCGTTGTTACAATCATTATTGAATTAACTAAGGAATAATACACTTACTTTAGTTATTTTTGAAACATATTATTATGCGTGTTATTGTTAAAATAATATTAAATATGTTCGTACTAAAGTTATCGAGTTATAACCTCAAAGTCTGTATTTTATGTGACTATGAATCTGAACAACGCATCAATTTTTTTGTTTTCAGATGTTTCTAACACGTTCTGAATACGATCATGGTGTCAATACCTTCTCTCCAGAGGGAAGATTATTCCAAGTTGAATATGCCATAGAAGCTATAAAACTTGGTTCTACTGCCATTGGAATTGCGACATTGGAGGGTGTAGTATTAGTTGTGGAAAAACGTATCACTTCCAGTTTAATGGAACCCACAACTGTAGAAAAAATTGTAGAAATTGATAAACATATTGGATGCGCAGCATCAGGCTTAATAGCTGATTCTAGGACTATGATTGATCGTGCTAGAGTAGAATGTCAAAATCATTGGTTTGTCTACAACGAGAGAATGTCTGTGGAATCAACAGCACAAGCTGTATCTAATTTAGCCATACAATTTGGAGATAGCGACGATGATGGTAGTGCTATGTCAAGACCATTTGGTGTAGCGATGTTATTTGCTGGTATTGATGAGAAAGGGCCTCAGTTGTATCATATGGATCCTTCTGGCACTTTTGTACAATTTGATGCTAAAGCTATTGGATCTGGTAGTGAGGGCGCACAACAGAACCTCCAAGAAGTTTATCATAAGGTAAGGAATCAATTTTTTGTATTAATATTTTTTATGAGTATTTTTACAATATTTTACAATATCATTACAGTCTATGACACTTAAAGAAGCAATAAAAGCTGCTTTGGTTATATTGAAGCAAGTTATGGAAGAGAAATTGAGTGATAATAATATAGAAGTAATGACAATGACACCTGAGAAACTGTTCCATATGTTTACAAAAGCTGAATTACAGGAGGTGATTAAAGATATTGCTTAAAATTTAGAGCATTTAATACATGTTAAATTTATTGACACGAATATATACATTTATAAGCAACAGATGTGTGCTATGCAAATATTGTATATCTGCAAATTACACATACTTACATTTTTCATTTAAAGAATATGGAATTTCTACATGATAAACAATTTTGTATTTTCACTTTTTTTTCAAATCAGATACAAAAATAGTAAATTATATGCTATATCTTTCTATCAAATAATCCTTGATACCATTTTCTAATTATTTTTGCGTTTGTGCATTTATTCATATATTAACATGTCCTTTTAATTTTAAATAGTTCTAACATTAATTTAAACATCTTCAAATTGGTTTTCACGTAATAGAAATAATTCATACATTTTTTTTACCTTTTAATTTAGTTAATTGAGAATTTGCCGTTGTCAAGAGAAGATTCAGTGCGATCGAAATCCAATACCTCCAGTCCGCTTCCATCCTTTCCATCTGTATCCACTCTTGGATAAAAAAAGTCGCAGCATGTATTTTGCAGTTTGTACCTCCTATCCTACAATTGTTTTTCTATCCTTAACAAGGTAACACAATAAATTATTTTTATAATTCTCAGTCATCACTTCTATTTTAAATGTGTTTGTACTCGTAGTATTTTACATCTTAATGCATAAAAGATTTATTTTAATTTTCGAATTAGATATTTATGTTTACACGTTAATACCTTTTGTTCATAATATGCATTATTTTTCCAAATCATCTGACCTAAGTTTTATATTATGAATTATATATTTGTAAATTATTTTTAAACCTTGGATAGATATCCTTGTCTAACATTTTTGCATCAGTAATACAATTCCCAATACACCGCTACATAAATCTAGAATATTTAGAAGATTCTCATAAAAAATATTTTCATCTTTTGTTAAATATAACAGCATTTGTTAATAATAGAGTGAACTCAGAGTTTACTTATTTCATAATTTAATTGAAACGACATATTTCACGATGCAACTCGTAGAATCTCATAGTTTTCAAGATCTATTTGAAAAGCTTCAACTATCGAGTACAATTTGCTCGAGAAATAAAATCAGATATATTATATAGAATTAAATAAAAGAGGGGAAAATGTCGAAAGGATGATAAAACGAAAAAGAGAGTTCTTGCTCTCTGTGCTACAGGTTTTTATCTTTGAAGTAGTCGTGTCGTTGAGAGAAGAGTCGCGATGATGGCGTAACACGGCGACTCTCCTAGAGCGAATCGTTAAATTCACGTCGAACGGAAACGAACGAGACGGATGGTCCGTTTTCGATTAAAAGCTCTCCGGACCTGTGAATGCCTGTATCCGAAATCAATAATTAATTTCGCCCGGTTGCCGGGGGACAGACAGAAAGCGAGCCAAGCCGGAAATGGTTCGGGAACTCGCTCGGTTACTGCGATGTTCCGATAAAACGTCCCTTTTTATCCCGTTCTCTCAGCTGCCAGATTATTGGATATTATTCCATTTCAAGCGTTCAATCCCGCTACGATTCGCTCGCTCGGATTCCCATGGGGGATCCTCTGTCGTCCGCTGATTGTTGAAGCCACTTACACGCGCGCGCATACGCACCTGTGTGTTTCTCACTTCGATTTAGAAGTGTTGCATTTCCACTTTTCTTTTTTTTTTTTTTTTTTTTTTT